TATATTTGGAATCGAAATTATCAACAGCTGTCGTCATTTTTTTAAATAAAAAGTTTCTAATTTTTTCATTTCAGTCAAATAACTATCTACTCAACATGTTTTTTTTTGTCAATAATGTCATATACTGACTATTTCCATTCTAAATTTTTGGGAACAGTTGCTCGTAGCGATTTTTACCAAGAGACATTTTTACATAAAAATTTCAAAATGTATATTTTTCACTCTTCAAAACAGTGTAGGTGGCGCCCTCTACAGGATATCAGAGTCATATTGTTTTAAATTCTCATGTCAAAAACTCCCAGACACCAATTTTCATCTAAATATTGACGTTACATCAGAAATTATTTGAAAAAATCGAAATAAAAAAGAAACTTCCATATCCTGTATCTCCGAAACGGTAAGAAAAGTATTTTAGAACATACATTTATAGGAACTTTTTTACTTATTTTTATCTGCAGAATATGCTGCCGAAGTTTTCAGAATACAGTTCGGACCACCCTGTTTAATAAATAATTAAACGACGCCGACCGGCGCTCACAACTGATGGAATGCTCTCTTGGTCAAAAGTTACTTCGCCGATTATTTTATTTTGTTATACTATACAATGGTGGGTATGCTAACATATATATTTTTGTAATGAGATAAAACAAAAATAAAGAGTAAACTTCTTTCACTACACTTTTTTATAATCCATCAATATAATTAGTTGCTCTATTAGCAACTACCTGAATTGACTAGAATTTCGTGGAAAATGTTTTCAGCCTAACTAAAAAGTAATCAATAGGTTGTATCCAGGTGGAGACTCGTAAAATGGGGTTGTAACGTTGTAATCTAGCAGTTCTTTTGAAGTATTAGCCGGTTTTAGTTTTTCAAATAACGATTTATCGAAAGCTGTAAGCAATTAGCATAACGACGGTGTTTTTTGTATGTTTGATCTATACAAAATAGTTTAGGCCATAGTTAACATAACATGGTTATACATAACATGGGCCGGCATGAAAAATATGTTGACACATTAAAATTTTCATGTACAATATATTCTGTTCTAGTGGGCTTTGATTATTTTATAAATAACCAATATGTACATTTTTCGATAAATTCGTTTGTAGAAGCGTTCGAGAAGCAACTCGAGAATGAAAGTCAACGCAATGCTGATTTTAGTATATATACAATAGGGTTGGTGCATTCTCCGACGGTGTTGCTACCATCATCGGAGAATATCGTAAACACACTGATATATACAAATATACAGGTTTAAATAGCGAGTATAGAAAAAAATACTATATAATTATTCTGAAAGTTTTAGGTAGTATAATTTGTGAAATTTCTAAAAATAAAAACAAAAAAGTAAATATTTTGATATCGTTAGAGGATCCAACTTGTATTATAATGTATTATTCCAGCTAAAAAACTGTTTACATGAGTTCAACTACGGTAGCGAGCATAGTATAGTTTTCCCTACCGGTTTTGCTGGTGGTCATAATTGGAGCTATTTCAGCTATAACGATTTTTTTTAAAGGTACATAATTATAATTTTAGAAGATGTTCCTAAAACATTTAATCACTAGTTGATTAAAAAAAATAAAAACCAAACCATTAATATTGCAAACTATATTTTATCCACTCATAGTATAATTGTCCGCTCATAGTATAATGTCTATTTATTTTTGTGATTATGTAACGAGCACTTTGTATACTTACCCCAGTGCAGTTATGACATTCACCGTGAAATTGCAAAAAATTTTAGAAAGCTGCGACCATTGCAAATAGTTAGCAATATAGTAACCCTTATTAACATACTAAAAGTCCCCATTTGTCCGGTGTGTGCGTCATCTGTAATTAATTCTCCTTTGTGTGCACTTCCGTTTAGGCCTAGGTCCGTCTAAAGCAAGCTAAAAGAATAAACAAACTATGGTCGAAAAGCTAGCAACGTTTTTGGGGGAATTTTAAAGAAAACTTTTAATAAAGCTCATTTTTTGATAGGGTGAATATGCCAGTGGTCGGACAGTTTAGAAAAAGCCGAGTTTAAATTGTTGATTAAATTTTCTTTATTAGTGGCAAGAAAATGACATTTTATGAAATAGATAGTGTGGTTATTGGGCTTCAAGTTAAATATAACAGTTTTTTTCATAAACCTACCAATAATTTTAATTATTTTTTTTAAGTGATAAAAGTGCTGTTTCGTTAGTAGTCGGACAATGTTTGCCAGTATTCGGTCGGGTAGTTACCATAAGTCGGACACTATGCGATTGGCTGATTCTGCACAGTCCCGTATTATACAGGGTATCCCAGAAATAAGTGTATTTTAACTGGTAGTATAGTTTAACCCCAGAAACACGCCTATGAAGTTTTTTTTGCGAAAATTTTTTTGGAATTTTTTTAGTTTTTATTTAAAAAAAATAATTTCTTGATAATATGGCAACATAAATAGTAGATTATATTTACAAGAAAGAAAAGATCCAATGGTTATCAAAATTTTAGCAAAAATTTTTTTTTGGAAATTTTCAAAGTAAAATAACTCCGTTATTTTGGACTTTTATCGAGATCTACCACCCCTTAAAATACTTGCAATTATTTCTGGGACACCCTGTATATTGTATATCGACATTGACACTAAAGTCTATAAACCAGACTAAATGAAATTTTGGCAAAAATGTTTAAATTTGTTGTATAATTTAAGATACCAAGTAGCTCTTCATTTGACTTTATAGAACAAATGATGTAACAGATATTTTATTTAGATTAAAGCTGCAAAAATTAGTTTAAACCGGATTTTATTATCGCTATGTTGGTCACATGGTGCCGTTTTCAGCAATGTTGTCGTTTATTATTTAACAATTATCCTAATGTCAGTCATTATTTTGTATAATTTCGTGTTGTTGTTGAATCTTTGTGAGTAATTCTCGTTTTTTTGCCTATTTTCATGGTCCTTTTTTAAAAATTGTACTTTAAAAACACAAACAGTTCTTTTAGGAACTAAATTTTCGAGTTTTTGTATTTCATTTCCTGAAATTGTATGTTGAAAATATGCCGAAGCATTGAAAGAGTCGAAGCAAAGAGCTTGTAGCTTCCCTGATAAACGAAGTAGCTTCCCTGATTTTGAACGAGAACGTGAAAATAAAGGTCCTTTATTACCCTTGACTGCAGTCAGAGAAGTACGTTTGATTGATAAGTACATTAGACCACTTTCAAAGTTATTTCTACGTTAGTTTTTATTAAATTCTGTGATTATTAGTTTGTGAATTAATAACACTCTCTTACTTGTTATTACCACTTATCGCGTTGTAAGATGTACATCAATAAATAAATAAATAAATAACCCATAATAATGCTTAGAATAATTTTCATAATGGACTAGTTTTTGCGAATATGTAATAAATAAAATAAGCTATAAAACAAATACATCAAATAATTACTAAAATATTATTTATTAAATTAAAAATAAAACGTAAAAATCTTTAAAAAATTATATAATAAATATATTGTTTGTCACATTTATATTAAAATTCATCTCATAAATATATCACAATCTGGCAGCGCTGACGCCATCGTTTGCCACTAAAAGTTAACACGTGTATCAGAAATTGTTTTGCGATTACCATATGTATAATTTTAAAGCAAATTTAATATTGAACATTATATATCGTTTATTATTGTATGTTATCTACAGACCGGACCACCGTAGTAGTAACATAGGCAGAACCGGACGAATTAGCGCATACCCGTCCGCCGGATAAAAAGCAGGCGAAAAAATACGATAAAATAAAAATAGGTAGATATGTGATAAGAATGTTTCAGAATTTGTATTTATTCGTGTTTTAATAGCCAAAACGAATACATAGATTCTCGCGACAGCTCTCGTGTAAAATTTATTTTTTAAGTAAAATAATGGATCTTTAGTTCGTGAGAAAATTCAAATTATAAAATGGTATTTCCAAAATAGGTCTTATCGGAATATACAAACATTTTTCCACAAACTTTTGTAAACAGGCCAATTCCCTCTTTACCTACTATATCAAGAGTTATTAATAATTTTGAAACACATGGGTGCGTTTTCCCACAAAAACACAAAAAGCCTGATGTGTTGATTAATGAAGAACAGGAGTTAAAGCAAGTGTCCATTTGTGCTACCGCGGATCAAAATCCCACGTTTTCAAGTAATCAAATTGCTGAGGTGGTTGCCCTGCCCACAATGCCCGTAGTGTTCACGAATATTTGAACAATACTTTTCCCAACCGTTTAATTAGTGGAGATGGAACTATTTTGTGGCCCGCTAGATCACCAGATCTTTCTCTCAATGATTTCTTTTTGTGGGGTTATGTAAAATCCAAAGTGTATGGTCATAATAGGGCTAATAATCTGGATGAGCTTCAAGTAAAAATACGAGAGGCTTTCCAAACTATTAGCCCTAATATGTTAGCCAATGTCAGACGGGGATTTTACGACCGCCTAGGCTTCTGTCTAGCACAAGAAAGTCTTTTTGAACACTTGTTATAACTTTTTCTATTTAGGGTAATATTTTAGTTTTTTTGGGGTTTAGAGAATTTATTTATTTTTAGTTTTGGCTTGTAAACACACTCAAATAATAAATATTTAAGTATTTTTATTTTAAATGTTACCTTAAGTGAAGGTAAACACTTGAAAAATGAAAATAATAAATACTCGGCACTCCTCGCATCGTATTCCTAGTCTGTCACGACCGACCCGTCCAAGCACAACTGCAACTGCGTACTGTCTGACCAGCCGACTAGCCGGCAGTGAATCTCGAGTACGAACGCAAATCGGGTAAACGTAAATTCGTCCGGTAACTTGCTATGTTACTAGTAGCCTGGTCTTCTCTGTATATGAAAAAAATCATCTTTAAACGATACCAACGCGGTTTATAAAACCATGCTTCCATTAGTAAACGGCGCGTTCGATTTTTCTTCTTCTAGGCACAATTTTTTCAACCAGGAAAATAAAGTGACCAATATGGTATGTGCACTTACGCTGTTACTCACCTCTTCTTCTTCTTTTTTATCCGTTAATATAGCAAAATTGTGATCGATAACAGACTGGTAGAGCTTCAACTGAAGATCCGACATAGGACAATACACTAAAAGTTCTTTCTTAGGCACCATATCAATTAAAACATCCTTTTTCAATCTTCTCAACATGAACGGGGTGAGGACTTTGTGAATTTTACTAACCAAGTTATTAGACTCTTCTTGTTTTATCAGTTGACCTTCATTCTATGTTTAAAATTATGTAGTATAAAGTTTGATTTTCGTGCATCCGTTGTCCGACGATAGGATATTAATTATAATGGTTGAATTTAAAGACTTCGATTGGTTAGAAAATTAGGCAGTTTTTAAATTTATTGCATTTTCATGCCTCCGTTCATCGGATGTACGATTTGCTTGTGATTGGTGTCATTTTATATTTTCATTTCCATAACGATTTCGCTGTTTTACGTGTAGTCTAAGAGCTAGCAACGTTTTCGAGAGAGAATTTTAAGAAAGCTGGTTCTTCAATATATCTTTTGCTATGCTCCGCTGAACTGAGTGCGGACCGCCTGGCTGCCGGTAGACGTTGCGTTCACTACTGCGCATCATATCTATATTCAACACCTGTTCACTACTGCGCATCACAAATTCGCCCTATATTTCAGGAACTAAGGAGGCTAGGACCTTATGTATGTGTAGCATATTTAGTTTCATAAAAAAGTAGCAAAGTACTGTGAAAATCGCATCATTGTATCTCTACTCATAAACGAGAAATCCCATAAAACACACGAAAATGGGATACCCTGTACAGGGGGCTCGAATTCGACGCTCATCATTGGGATTTCGGAAACTGTAAGAGATACAGGATCAATTAAATGGAAGCAAAGTTGCGCAATTTGATGCTCAATAAAATGCCGTATTGCATTTTTATTTTTTTGCATAAAATATTCTGGTGATAGAATTTTCTGTACGAAACGTCGGCAAATATCAAAATGACTATATATAGTGTTTTAAGAGTGACGAAAGGATTTAATTAAATTGAAAAAAAAATCAGGTCCGTATTTAAAAAAATTAAGTTGATGATGGTCGCCAGAAGCCGAAACGTCAAAGTCAATATATAATCACACAGAGTTAAAGAGCAGAAAAAGTGGCCATGAAAATGTGTTTTTCATTTTAAGTTATCTTAACAAATAAAACCAGGAAACAATAGAAAACAAAATTGAAAATTCCGTTTTTTTACCGGAATTTTTCAAAATGCAATACGGCATTTTATTGAGCATCAAATTGCGCAACTTTGCCTCCATTTAACCGATCCTGTGTATCTCCTACTGTTTCCGAAATCCCAATGATGAGCGTCGAATTCAAGCCACCCTGTACAGATGTGATGTGCAGTAGTAAAATGCGCCGATGTGATGCGCAGTAATCTACCGGCAGCCAGACGGTCCGCACTTTGGTCAAGAGAGCATACCAAAAGATACATTAAAGAACCGGCTTTCTTAAAATTATCGTTTTCCCGACGGTGCTAGCTTTTGTACTATTATATTTCTATTAAGGTTGGATTAAGTTTGTCCAAAAAGTGTTAAAACGTCCGTTATCGTACGATCTTTCTCCGTTGACAGGCTGAAGTAAAAAATTTACGGATGAAAAGTGGCGCGAAACCGCTATGACCAATCAGAGCGCCATCAAACCATCGTATCAACGGATAACGGACACATGAAAATCAAGCTTAAGAGCTTGATTTATTTAAACAACCAAACAGGAATTGTACAAAAATTCGTGTGACCTACCTGAATGTCTTCCATTAAAAACAATTCGGTAAATGTTTCCATATCGTTAAAAAGGGTAGGCAAAAGGAAATTTAACAATGCCCATAATTCCATCATGTTGTTCTGTAGAGGTGTTCCAGTTAATATAATTCTGTTTTCGGATTTGAACTCTCTCAATTTCCTTAAACGTGAAAATAAATAACAAATATTAAAATTGCAAAGTTATACAGGGTGTTTCAAAAAACATGTGCCATCCCTCGTGGGGAGGTTCCTCACGTAAAAATACCATTTATTTTTTATATTAATATATGTAAGTCTGATTCTGCTTTGTTTTGTAGCTACAGGAGTCTAAATACTTTAATATTCTTCCTGCGCTTTTAGCGATTCAAATGAAATTTTGAGTCCTATAGTTAACTATAGTTCATACCAAATAAACTTTTAGTCACGTGATTAAGCTTCACCGGTACAACGTCTTACATATTTTCTTTTAATCAAAATATTTTAGGAAACAAAAACAAATTAATTATAAATATAAAGAGAGTTATTATTTACATCAACAAAACTCACCTCCTTAACAGTACTTAAGGGGCATAAAGGGCCATTGCCATTACCTACCGCTTTCCCGTTCAAAATATTCTAATAAAGTTGCGATGAGTTTTTTACTGCTATTAAGCTTACTTGTACACTTCGCACTAAAAGAGGTTCTAAAAAGAACAATGTTCGACTGCAAGGTCTGCTAGTAAAAATATTTAAGCTAATCTCAACACAATTCATTTAAACCAAAAACTAGTAATACAAAACTAAAGTGTCAAAACCGATTGACAATGTCAGGAAATAAATAAATAAATATGGTAACTTGACATTTTTTACAGCAGAGCCTCCACTTGAATCCCAAGCGGGAAATTTAAATTCCCTATAGTCGGCGCGGCGCATGTAGTTATGAACCGCATTTTACAATTTCAAATAAATCATATGGGAAAATATCAAAAGTTGACATATGGTATGTCATTCTATTTAGATTTGTCGACGTGGTAGCAAGGCGGCTGCGGATTCAAGTTATTAGAATAAAGTGCCTGAGAAAGCCCACTATGTTGGAGCGAAACGTCGCATAAAAAAAAGTTTCCATCTTCAATTAATAAAAAAAACCTCATACCCCAGAAAATGAAAAAAAATATATGGATATAAATTCTATTTAGAGTGTCATTTTCTATCCAATAAAATTAAAAAATACAGAGGGTGCCATTTAAAAATCAAAAGTTGTAGTCATTTCCGGTGAAACCGGAAGTGACCGAAAACAATTGAATGTGTCAATCAATCCTAATTTATGTCATATACTAACATACCAAATCTCGTTGTTTTATCTGAAAAAATAAAAAAAGTTATAGGGGGTGAACCACTTTTGAGACGCAGCCGGTATATATTTATCCGTTGCATATCTGAGGGACAAAATTTTACAACCTACATCGACAATGCTTTGAAATAAACAAAATCAAGCGATCAAGGGAATCGCTCGCCGCTTGCTACTTGCCATTCATCACCGAAAGAATATGTGCCCTGCGCAAGCAACTTACTGCTTGGCGCTTGGCGTTAAGGAGTACTTACAACAAGCGACGGGTGAAAAACCGTATTTTTAAATATGAGTGAAATATCGCTCGAGCGATCACTCAGTTATTGCAATCGCTTGAAACTCGAGTACTCGATTATTGAAATTAATCGGTTTTTCCCATCACTAATCTTTTCGGACCTTTCCTTAAACTTTCTAATCTTCTTTCTGACAATACGAATCGAATGACACCACATTCGTAATTTTCGGAGAATATTGAAAAATTTTACTAAAAATGGTACATGTGAACCAGACTATAGTACTTACAGAGCTAACTGACTCTTGTGGTTCTTGATTCGATGTCCCTCGTCTACGATAATATACTTCCATTTCATCCTCAAAAACTTGCTAGATTCCATCACGGGTACCTGGTACGACGTGATCACTACGGGGTAAGTTTGCAACGCGCCTATGGTGTATTTTCTGAAGATTTTCGGCAAATTTTCCTGTCTCGATTCCGTCTTGCCGTAGAGGACCACCACGGGCACCTCCGGGGCGAAACGTTTGAATTCGCTCGCCCAATTCGGAATGGTGGACAGGGGGGCGACGATGAGGAACGGTCCGGGCACGTTTCTCTTCAGGAGAACGCAAATTAGAGCTATGATTTGCACGGTTTTTCCTAGACCCATCTCGTCGGCCAGGATGCCGTTGGTGCCGTTTATGAACAAAGTCTAAAGAAAATATTAAATATAGTGTTACAGGTATAGTCCACATTGTATGGAAAACCGGCATAGCGTGGCGTCAATACAAGTTAAATTTATTGAATCAATTAATAATTATAATTAGACTAAAGTGTCTAACACAATGGCATCATAAAATTCATATTTGTAGATATTGGTTTGGTTTGCACTACACTAAATGTCAAAAGGCTTGGCGCATTTCAGTTGATTTCAAAACATTCCGACCGCAGCGCTCTCTACGGCAGAAATCAGAAATTTTCCCTATGTATTTCACGCAGTCTCGGTTACAGTTCATGTTGAGCATATTAAAATAATCTTGAAATCGTGGCTTTGTCATAATATCTAAGTATTTTATTATTTATTTTATTTTTTGCTAGTGCAGTTATTGAAACTATAAAACATTCAGGTACGAGGTTTATGTGATGTAACGTTGTTTCGGGTAGTAAAAATTAAGTAAAAATGAACTTGAACTGGGCGTCGCGGTGTGTTCTGACAATTTCAAATGTTAGTTAAATTTGAACTAATGCTAACCTAACCGAAAAAATGTTAACGCGTACAGGAGAGCGTAGTTAGGACGTTGTTGGGTGCAATAACATTCAACAACTCAACTTTCCCGGATACTCAACTCTCCCGAAACAGAAACTCTCTCAAAAACAAAAATTAATTCAAGCAGTTCGAGAAAACAAGTAAGTAAACAAAGTGCTCATTACATAATCAAAAAATTAAATAGATATACCGGGTGCGTCTCAAAAGTGGCTCACCCCTATAACTTTTTAATTTTTTCAGATACAAAAACGAGATTTGGTATGTTAGCATATGACATAAATAAATTAGGATTGATTGAGGTATTCAATTGTTTTTGGTCACTTCCTGTTTCACCGGAAATGACTACAACTTGATTTTTAAATGACACCCTCGGTATTTTTTTACTTTATTCGATAGAAAATGACATTTTGAATAGAATGACATATCATATGTCAACTTTTGACATTCTCGCTTAGTAAAAAATTATATTTTAAAATTCAATCTAGATTGTCATGCCTTTATTAAAAACACTAATTCTTAATCAAAGAGCCTTGAAAAAATAGGTTTGATCGTCTAATATTTTTAATATCTTGTCCTGACCAGTTAGAAAATGCGCAAATCGTATTTTTAATCATATCTCAACTTTTTCAAATGGAACAAGGGTGGCTCATTAGAGTATTTCGAAAAAGCATTTTTTTACGAATAATTTGATACCATACACTTGGTATTTCGAGTCAAATTTTCGTTACAAACCGCCAGTTATAATTTCAAATAAACCATATGCGAAATGTTACAAGTTGACCTATGATATGTCATTCTATTCAGAGTGTCATTTTCTATCGAATAAAGTAAAAGAACACCGAGGTGATATTTAAAAATCAAAAGTTGTAGTCATTTCCGGTGAAACAGGAAGTGACCGAAAACAACTGAATACGTCAATCAATGCTATTTTATGTCATATACTAACATACCAAATCTCGTTTTTTTACTTAAAAAGTTATAAAAGTGAGCCACTTTTGAGATGCACCCGGTATACTATGAGCGGATAAAATATAATTTGAAATATTAATGGTATACTTTTTTTAATCGACTAGTGATTAAATGTTTTATGAACATCTTCTAAAATTATAATTATGTACCTTTAAAAAAAATTCGTTATAGCTGAAATAGTCCTAGTTATGACCCCACTAGCAAAACCGGTGATTAAAACTATGCTCGCTACCGTAGTTGAACTAATCTAAAAAGTTTTTTTAGCTAGAATAATAAATTACAATACAAGTTAGACCTTTTGAAGATATCAAAATATTTACTTTTTCAGTTTTATTTTTAGAATTTTCGCAAATTATACTTCTGTGCACTTTTAGAATAATTATATAATACATTTTTCGTATACTCGCTATTTAAACCCGTGTACAGGGGCGCCTCTCATACACCGCGGAAGCTCCAAGGAGAACGGTAGCACAACGGTAGTTTATATCAAAATAAAATTTTGGCAGCATATGTAGGTTGACTGAAAGCATTTTATAAAAATATAGATTATAGAGAATAGAATACCCAAAAAAAGTTACACATCAAAGTTGTGTTTTTTCTAATGGAACACTATATATTAATTGATTTTCGGATTCTAGGAAAAAAATAAAGGTGAGATTTATTAAAGAAGCATATACCTAAAATCTAAGGATTTTGACATATTTCACATTTTGTGAAAACGAAGAGTAAATTTTAAATTTCGATAACAGCTACCTAAATTTTAGTTCACCTTGTATAGCCTGATATTTAATTACAGTAACAATTGTATTTTAAACCAAATTGAAATTTGACCAGAAAAGTTACACAGGGTGAGACAAAATTAATATGGAACATTAGTCACTTTTAAAAGCAAGTTACTCCTTTATTTTAAATGGAACACCCAGTATATTTTTTGGGTGTTCAATGAGGAATTTATATATTTCAGGTTGCCTACCCCTCAGACAAAGATTTTCCTAGATATTTTAATTTTTATGATTTTGCGTCAGTAGATCTTTATTATTTGAAAAAATCTAGGTGGCTGTGTGATATACCTTTTGTTAATCCTGTTAACTGCATAAAATGATCGTCTTTCCAAAAGAAACTTTTCATTTTAAACGGCAGATGTGGAGTTCTACGTCGAAAAGCAGCTACAATAATTTCTCTCATGTTGTTGACAATAGTTGGTCGAGTTTTGTAAACACTGTCTTTAACATATCCCCATAAAAAAATCCAGACTAGATAAAATAAGGAGCATTTAAGTATTTTATTAATTGATGAATGCACACTGCATTCGCCAACTAATAGAATCACATCAGTTCTCTCTGATGTAGGATAAATTTGCATTTTCGGCAAATTTATGAAAACTTTTTTTGTTTTAACTAACACAAAATGATAACTAGTTGTTAAAGATGGACTAATCAGACAGTTATGTTGAAGTAACGTCAGAAATATCACCAGCCACCTTGATTTTATCAAATAATAAAGATCTACACAGATCAAATCATTAAATGAAAATATCTAGAAAAACCTTTATTTGAGGGGTAGGCAACCTTAATAGCATTTTGAAGATACAAGAATTCTCGATCGGAATAATATACTGGGTGTTCCATTTAAAATAAAAGAGTAACATGCTTTTAAATGTGACCAATGTTCAATATTAATTTTGTCTCACCCTGTATAACTTTTTGAACCAAGTTTTAATTTGATTTAAAGTACAATAGTTAATTTAACTACATATTAGGCTTGGGTAAATTCCAATTTAGGTAGATTTTATTGTAATTTAAAAATTGTTCTATATTTCTAGAAAATGTTAAATATGCCAAAAACCTTACATTTTAGTCATATAGTCTCATATAAAACTCACCTTTATTTTTCTCCCAGAATCCTAAAATCAATTAATATATAGGGTGTTCCATTACAAAAAACACAACTTTATATGTAACTTTTTTTGGCGACACCCTGTAGAACTCTCTCTATTTTTAAAAAGTGCTCTGATTAACCTACATATGCTCACAAAATTTCATTTCAATATAAACTGTCGTTCTCATTGGCGTATGAGAGGCACCACCCTGTATTTGTATATAATAGTTATTTACGATATTCTCCGATGGTGGCAGCAGGGGGGTGACAGTAAACCGGAAAATTGGAAACAGTTGTGGCGCGGTTCTACCCAGGCAGAAAGCATGGCCTTCTAAACTGTCCTAGACAAAAATCTGAATATTTCTATATGATTTCTGTCAATTTCTGCTACGGAACATTTTTATGCACGTCGGCGTCCTGTTCTTTTGTCTTTTGTCTGTGTGTCAGCGTCAGCTCCCGAGGCCTCTGGCGAGGTCGGGCGCCATTTTAATCTTTGCCGTTTTTTTTAATAAGCTCTATAATGAATCTATTTGTGCCCAAGGCTGGTTTAAATCCACGTGTTCCCCAATTATTTTCTTTTGTCCTCCTAAGAAGTCTGTGCCTAAAAAATAGCGATAAATATACTGCACAAAATGTTACCAAAAAAACTGCCATCGTTATCATTTTCATTTTTCAATGTATCCGAATCCCACTGAAATATTCGGATAACGTCTGGAAATTAGGCACAAGCAGATATGCATATGTCACTGCAGAATGCCCAATACGAAGCATATGTACTCTGGGTTCATCCGCTCGTTCTAGTGTAAAACGTAAGGATGGGTTTGACGGATCTTATTTTACTGCGCGAAGCTTTAAAGGCTTACTTGTCCACTCATCATGCCATTCCCTTTCTGCTTGTTTATGTAATAGTACTTTAAGATCATATAACTACTACTTTTCACTAAAATATTAAGCTATTTAAAAGAACACTGTAATAACCGGTCGAGTGGTTTAATCCCAAGAATGAGTCCAAGACCGAACCGTGGGGGTTCATCTACAAGGGGATCAATGAAGTCTTCGACAGGTTCTTGTTGTTGATGTAATGCTGACGGATGTTGACGTAATAAGGTAAGTGGCAGTATATAACCAATATAACAAAAGTCAATGGTATCTCATCTAGCAGCTTGCCGAGCAGCATCATCTTACATAATGTTGCCAAGAATATTAGTGCAGCTTGGGAACCACATAAACGTGAGTTTATTTCCCTTTTCACTGCACTTTCGAATAAAAGTCTGAATTTTTCGTTTCAGTCGATCTTGGACAATTATGTCATAATTTTAGACACGATCTCTAAAGAGTCATAGACAATTATAGCTCAGTTTGATAGTATTCCGCGATGATATAGAATAAGGCTTTCCAGATAGTAAAATGTTCTGTGAAGAAAGCGGATGCTTCATGTCACAAAGTCCATTGGAAAGCTAGCCCGTTGATAATAAAATCAAATTGGTTACAAGTTGGTATAAACCTGACGGAGGATGGTCAGCCAACAATTCCTTGCCTCACGTCGATATAAATTTATCATACAATAAACAATATAAATTATATCAATTAAAATAACTATCAGATGCAAGTAACTGAAGGTTAAGTTCATCGCGGTCATCGCTAAGTTAGTGGAATTATGTTGTAAACTGTTTAATTACGTAATCGCACGTAATCGCCGATGACCAGCGATGACAAGACATCAATCAAGAGAGTATAAAGAAGATATCGCAACTAGTTAGTCGGAAAGTAGAGTCTTTTAACTGACAGTTAGTTAATCAGTTATTCGGAGTGAAGACCATGATTACGTCCATGTAAGTATCTTCTGTATACTCATAAATAAAAACTCCCTCATTTTCCTATTGCATTTATAATTAATAACTATTGCGTCAAAGGCCTTGTGACAACCAATGAACCAATACAGATCGTGGAAAGATTTTGTTTGGAAATATTATACCTTGTGGGTGATATCTTGGAAATCGATAGTAGTATAGCGATAGATTGGAAAAACAAGTCAAGATGATTTTGAAGTCAAGATTTTTTGAGGTACCAATTTTGTATTGTTAATCTAAGCAATTTTGTACCTCCATCAAAAAACTACTCATTAATTGACTGGTTTTCTCATTCAGCTAAAAATAAATTTATTTGACAAGATGTTTCTTAAAGTTTGTGTTGGAACCTTTGGTGTAACAGCAACAAAATAAAACACTAACTTATCACAATACACTTTACTTTTAAACACTTGATATAGCATCATCGGCAGATAATTAAAACCCTTTGTTTTGTGTTTTAACTAATATGGTTAGCAAAACGCTTGTCCAATGTTAAAAGTAAAGTGTTTTGGTGTATTGCGGCGAATTAGTGTTTTATTTTGCTGAAGGTGTTCCCTGCAGCTGGAGAATGTCTTTTAGCAGACGGGCTAAAAGGCTGTATGTATAAAAAGCTCGAAAGTTTCCAGATATTTCGAGAACCTTCTTATATATTAGTCGGTTTAGAAATTTTTCTACGTTGTGCGATACCCAATTTCCAGCCTGTTCTATTCGTACAATCCTCATTGACAGGTTTGTTTCACTCATCGCTTTGTGTACGCTTTTTTTGCCATTCCAATTTCGGTCTTCCCTTATTGGGTTTCTTCTGCCCTTTGTTGCCAATTGATTATTTTCTTGGGCTATCTAGTATCCTTCATTCGCTCTACATGTCCGTACCAGATCAGCTGCTTTTCTCTATATACTGTGTTATCGTACCTTCTATACCCATTTGTTGTTTTATGAGGTATTATTTCTTATTCGTTTGTTGTCTTGAAATTCCCATTGATCTTCAAATAGCACCCATTTCTACGGCCTCTATCCTCTTCTTGTATATCTCAGTTATTCTCTATGTTTTCTGCTCCATACAGGAGGTTGCTCTCTTTATCATGGTTTTATATATATTGAATTTGATTTGCTCCATAAGATTCCATTTAGACATCCGATTATTTTTTCGCGTTGATAATCCTTTTCTCTATTTCTCCGCCGTGTTCCAGTGTTATCAATGTAATTCCCAGGTATTCATACTCTTGACACTGAATAATTTCGTGACCGTTGTCCAAGTTCAAATTTCCTTCTTGTGCGCCTATACATAGATATTTTGTTTTGGCTATGTTAACTGTCAAGCCCCATTCTCCGTATTCTTCAATAAGTTTTCTTAGCATATATTGCATATCATCTTTGTCATTGGCGACTATTATTTGATCGTCTGCGAATTGAAGTGTGAACAAACTTAAGAGAGAACCTTCTTAACCTCCACCAAATTGATTTATAGGTTTAATTTTTCATTTGGTATTAGCTTAGTGCAGTGGCTACGAAAGCTCAATAAAGCTAGGGTATAGAGACAGGTAGATTTTACGCCAGAATGTCTCCATTTGCTAGTAAATTTCCTTAGAAGTTTATAATAAATCCAAAAAGCGCGATAGTTTTGTTACGTAGGTATTATTCCTGTAATTTTATGTATTTTTATTAAGAACGTCTAATGTTATACATATATGCGTGCCTCATTATGAGTTTTTTTTTGTGGGGAAAAATCTGCAAATCAGAGACCGGTATGCCCTGTATCCATGAAATCTTAATTTTTAGGACTCTTAGTTTTTCGTATAGAACTCTTCGTTCAGCTGTCCATCGGTTACATTCCAAAAGGGTATGCTCCACCGTATCAGCATCGGAGTCGCCATATAGACATCTCGGGCTATCAGCTAACTTTATTTTATGTAGGTAATACCTGAAACAACCGTGGCCAGAAAGGAATTGACTCATGGCAGAGCTCATTTCTCCATATTCTCTATTTATCCAACACTCTAGGTTCTTTATAGGTTCTAGTCCATTTACCTTTCCCATTTCTGTTTTCACCCCATCTTTTACACCATATTTCCAGAACTCTATTTCTACTTTCTTCCGCTGTTCTTCCTGAACGTTCCTGCCTTTCCATTCTTTCTTCAATTACAATGTCTATCGAGGCCATTGAGCTCAGAATTGTGCAGCCTCCGCAGATATCGTCCTGTATCCATGAGATACTCTTATGGCCAATCTTCGTTGCACTGCAAGAAGTTTCTCTCTATTTCTCCCCAAATTTCGGATCCATACAGAATTCTAGATGCTGGTACAGCAGCTAGCACTCGGCGTTTGGTTTGACACAAGGTAGACCAGTTTGGCATAATTCTGGATTACATGGCCCCCTGTTCTTCTGCTTTCAAAACTGTATGGCGGATATGCTCAGAAAAGCCTCCTCCCGCTTGGAAAACAATTCCCAAATATTGTATTGTTTTCTTTGGTACAATTATATTTTGTTTCACATGAAAACGTACACTGCGTGATTTTCGGTTAAAAACCAAAATAACTGCCTCCGTTTTGTGCGGCGCTATTTCTAGTCCCACCTCATCCATTCATGAGCACACCTGCTCCGATACTCTTTCCGCAGTTCTAACGAGGTCTTCGGTACATTTAGCATTTACCATCAGCGCAACATCATCTGCAGATGCTATGAATTCTACTTCTGCTGGGTATTCCATACGAAGGAGTCCATCATACAGTACGTTCCATAGTAAAGGACCCAGTATAGATCCCTGAGGTACACCTTTAGATACTTTAACTTCTGCATCCTCTACAATAACGCATCTTTCGCTTAGATAAGCTTTTATATTTTCCACTAAATATAAACTCATTATGAGCTATTTTGTATTTGGTTGTAATAGTAATTAACGTAAATAATAAAGAATGTAAAATACAGCTTATCCTGCAATTTTCTATCTGCTATAAATGTCGGCGAGTTAATATTGAAGAAATAACGATCTTTTAGCTCGGATATTTTTATGGTGCAATAAAATAATATTAAATCGATTGTGTCGGCAAAAAATCGTCGTATATTACCACCGATTTGGCAAATTGAAACACTTTCTTTCAGTTTATAGTTGCGCTTTCGATTATGATGGCTTCATAATTTCCCAGCGACGACTTTATGTTCGGTTGTAAAATCATACTCGGCTCGTACCTGAATCGACCGCCATAATGGCTCTATATTGTAACGCTGTTGAAATGGACGTAGTCGTAACAGTTTATTTCATTTCAACAAAACCACGACATAATTTTATTATTTCTTCTTCTGTTGCACATACTTAACTTTAAATCATATGGTAATAATTTAGGTTGTGATAATGTACTAATACCTTTAAAGAACATTGAAAAGATGAAATTTACTTATAAATATAAAAAAGGAATAAATTTGTGTAGCAATTCCACAATACCAAAAAATAATTCTGTATATACTGTAAAAACTGTTTTTTCTCTATACCAAATTTATGAATGGCTTAAAATTTGTCAGTAGAAATTGTTCTATTTCGCTGGAAATAATGACTACAACTTTTGATTTATTACTAAATATTACCTTCAGGATGTTTTCCTTTATTTGATAGAAAATGACATTCTAAAACGAACGATATATTATATATCAACTTTTGACGCATTTTCATTTATATATCAACTTTGACATTTTCATTTAAAAAAATAATATTATAAATTTCAATCTAGAGATCAGAAAAAAATTAATTGTTGATCAAAAAGCTTTGGAAAAATTTTTAGTGACTTTTCTAGCGGGAAACGAAGGCGAGGGTTGCTTATTAGCCTATTTAGAAAAAACATTTTTTTTAAGAATAATTTCGTACCACTAGTATTTCGAGTCAAAATGTCATTGAATAAACACAGCTATTGCACTCTAAATTGAAATTTAAATTGCTATTTCTTAAGCGAAAATGTCAAAAGTTTACATATAGTCCGTCTAGAAAGTATCCGGAAACAATAAAGCAAAATTACAATTATCAATATATATTTTT